GAGCATGGAATTTATTTGCATCTAATTACGTCGTCACTATTAGTGGCTGACGTTATAGAAATTTGCAATATCTCTCTATTAATGTGTACACCGTACCCAGGACACCAACATATGGAAGCATATTCAAGCTTCGATCTTACAAACGCATCAAATAGAAGTTAGAGGGTTTTGCTTTCTACAAAAAATTTAGAATTCCTGGTTAAAAAACCGAGGGTCTTACACGCTGATGAGACAATGGTATTAATACGCTCAAAAAAGGTTAATTTACTGTCAAAAATAATTCCCAAGTCTTTAAAACTAGTACATCTTATCAAATTGGTGCCATTAATGTGGTAGACAAAAATTACCGGTTGCTTTTTATGAGTAAATGATATACAATTACATTTCTTAATATTTAATAAAGTTCAGGCATAAGGACTGACCCCTGAGGAACACCAAATTTTGTAGTTATCTTAGTAGATTTGTGACCATAGTACTCAACTCTTAAGAGCTTCCTATATAGATAAGAACTAAAAAATGCAATTAAATCCTTTGTTAAACCACACTGTGAAAGTTTCTTAAGAAGAATACTATGGTCTAGTCCAGTGTTCCTCAAACTTTTTTGGCGACGGAACCTTTTTGAAAACGAAATATTTGACGGAGCTCTAAACACATTTCTAAAAAAAAGGTCCTCTCAAGCAAAAATATCCTCCTTCCTCTTAGTGACTTCTAAAAAAAGATCCTCAAGCCAGGTCCCTCCCTTTTGTGGCGATAGTACTGCTTATTTTTTTTTTATTATGACTCTTTATTTTCTTCGCGGAGCCCCCACAAAGGCTTTGCGGAGCACACTTTGAGTAACACTGGTCTAGTCTATCAATGCTTTAGAAAAATCGGTATAAATGACATCAATTTGACCAGAACCGTCTAACTCCTCAGAGATAAACTGTGTAACATTAAACAAGTTAGTAATATTAGATCTACCTGAAACAAATCCATGTTGATCCTCGACAATTTGTGTGTTAACATGCGATGATAAAAACTCGGAAATTACTATTTAAAATACTTTACTAAAATTGCATAGATAGCAATGGGTCTGTAGTTTTCTATGTTATTTCTTTCACCTTTTTTAAATATAGGACCTAACTTAGCTTGCTTTTAAATTTTAGGAAAAGAACAAGTTTTTAAAACAAGAAATAAAATTTTGGTAATAGGTTGGACGAAAATAATAGCACAATCTTTTATAATGAACGAAGGAATGCCATCTGGTCCAGTGGCCATTTTAGAATTCAAACATTTTATTTTTTTAAGACAGTATCCTCGGATACATAGGGGATTGACAAAGTAGGTACATTAGGTTCTTGAAAATCATCACAATTGTCAAAGGAATTAATAACTCATTGATTTTTGTAGACTTGATTCATTACGCAAGGTATTTAAGTAAGACCACCATTGATTGGGATTATCAGATAAATTTATCTCGACATTTTTTACAATATTAGATCGTGAGCTTCATATTTCCTTTTTTACCTCCCTGCGAATTGTTTTAAATTGCTCATAATAAGTTACGTTGATTTATATTTTCGATATATTTTATTTTTTTTATTTAATTTCCTGATTATATTTCTTGAAAACCATGCTGGATATGAAGAGTTTTTAATAAATTTTTAGGAACATATTCTGAAAATATTTCATTTAATTTATTGTACAGAATGACCAATCTACTTCCAGTAGCTCACTATACAATCTCGGTAAATCTGCTTTGCGAAAATTATAAGATGCAGATGATTGTTTCAGGAATTTTTTGTTTGTAGTACAGATTTTAGTTCAAATGTATACAGGAGGAATACTATTGGTCAAACTTTTTTATTTAGCTTTAAAACTTGTATAATAATGACTTGTGAAAATCTTCTCTCTCTTGATAATTACCCTCCAATAACCGTCGAAAACGTTATTTGTAAAATAATTAAAAAATGTGTTTATAAACAAACGCTGTTTTCTCAAAAAATATAATGTGATAACAGATCATCAAAATGGTTTTCTACCAGGAAGATCAACGGAAAGTGCGGCTATTGATCTTTTTAATTTTATAGACACTTTAGATAAAAAGAATAACAATTAATAAATTGAGTAACTTGGAATTTAGAGGTAATTTTCTGTCATGGTCAATATCATATTTAGAATTTCAAAAAATAATTGTCAAAATTTATGATCAGAGATGATGTGGATATTAGCGTACCCCAAGGATCGATCCTGGGTCCTTTGATATTCCTGTTATACATAAACGATTTGCCGAAACATGTAAGTACTGATTAAATAGTATTATTATCATGTTGATGACACCACATTAGCAGCTGACGCGGATTCTTGAACTGATTGGCAAATTCGTTAGCTGGTGTGACAGAAATTCCTTCATTGTCAATCCATCAAAAACTAAATGTATGCAATTTTTTACCACAACAGAAATACCAAGTAATAATATCGATTATGATCATGTTGCTTTTTCTAGTACAACAAAATTCCTAGGTGTTCACGTAGATATTAATATGAGCTGGAATACCAATACATTAACAATACATGTAAAAAACTGAATTATAGCTATTTTGCTATACTTCAACTAAAAAATACTTTTACAACCAATCAATTAATAAATGTTTATTATGTTATTGTGTATTCTTATCTTACAATATTATTTTGTGGGAGGTGCGGTTAACGCTTCTAGTTTTATTTCTCATGAGAGAATAATGCGTTCAATTTTCAATTTGGATTATAGAGAGATCTGTAGAAAACATTTTAAACAATACAATATACCTACATTTCATTCTATATTTTTATAAATGCATCATGTATGGAAAAAATAATTACCATAAATTAAAATACAACTCTGATTTTCACGAATATCTCACGTGTCTTATTAGACCTCCGAAACATTAAACGTCACTCTTTGAAAAATGTCCAGTCTTCAAAGGAATTCAACTTTTAAATAATTTGCTTGATCGCATAATATCTGAATCGAAGTTACACATTTTTAAAAATAAGTTAATTTTTTTTAGTAAATGAATGTTTTTATGACATATCTGAATTGTTATCAAAAAATTTTAATTAATGTAACATGCACTTTGTCTTGTTGTTTTTGGGATTTTTACATTCCTATCTGTATTTAGATAACGAAAGTATAGGAATCATGATTTTTTCGAAGTGCAGTTTTCAACGGATTTTTACGTTTTAGGGTCCCCTGAATCCGTTTCGACTATTTTCGCGATAATGTGCTCGTGCGTGTGCGCGTGTGGGCGTGCGTGTATATATGTGTGTGTGTGTGTGTGTGTGTGTGTGGGGGGTGTGGGGTGTGTGGCGTGTGTGGTGTGTGTGGTGTGTGTGGTGTGTGTGGTGTGTGGGGTGTGTGGTGTGTGGGGTGTGTGTGGTGTGTGTGGTGTGTGGGGTGTGTGGTGTGTGTGGTGTGTGTGGTGTGTGTGGTGTGCGTGTGTGCGTGTGCGTATGCGTATGCGTATGTGCGTGTGTGTGTGCGTGTGCGTGTGTGTGTGTGTTTGTATGTGTGTGTGTTTGTATGTGTGTGTGTTTGTATGTGTGTATGTGTGTATGTGTGTATGTGTGTATGTGTGTATGCGTATGTGTGTATGCGTATGTGTGTGTGTGTATGTGTGTGTGTATGTGTGTATCCACCATAACTCATGAACGGATACAAAGAAAAACACCAAATTTTAAACTTAAGCTTTATTCCGGCCTCAAATGAACTGATTATATTTTGGGCAGAGCGGAACATCTGGGGGGTTCTTTATAGGTGGCCATTTTTATATTTTATGGAATATATCTGTTATTTACATTTGGAGAAGAAAATTGTTCAAATAAAAGTTACTTACAATATTATTATCTATAATTTCTCTTCTATACTAAATTTTCCTAAAATGGTCCGTATTCGAAAAATTTTACAAAATGAAAAAAAATTTTTTTTATAAAAGTTGTTCAAAACAAAAGTTGTTTGTAATATAATTTTCCATAATATTTATCCTATACAAAATTTCTCTTAAATGGACCGTATTCGAGATATTTAAGAAAATGTATAAATTACAAATTTTGAAAAAACTCAAAAACAGATAAAGGAAAAAAAACAATAAATTTTAAATTTAAGTTCTATTTCGGCCGTCAATAAACTGATTACATTTTGGGCAGAGTCGGAACATCTGGGGGGGGGGGGATGTACTTTATGGGTGGGCATTTTTATATTTCATGGAATATATCTGTTATTTACGTTTGGAGAAGAAAATTGTTCAAATAAAAGTTACTTCTAATATTATTATCTATAATTTTTGTTTTATGCCAAATCTTCCTGAAATGGTCCGTATTCGAGAAATTTGACAAAATGTACAAAATTCTGATGTTTGCGATATCGATCTCTATAATTTTTATTTTTATATGATTTTTCTAAAACGGATCGTAATGAAAAAATTGGAGGAAAAGTGCTAAATTAAAATTTTTCAGTATTTTCGTTTTCAATGAATATCTATAGAAAACTGTTTCGAGTTAGATGTAAGTGGAAAATGTATATATTTAGTTTATCCTCTAAACATTTACAGAGGTGATGCAATAGGTTGTAAAAAATAAACGGGAAATGCTTGTAATAACTAGATAGGAAAGTCATGTGTTGGACACATCAGATTTTTAGAATTGCATTCTATGATAAGAGAGCAAAAAAATAATTGTCTGCAAAAAAAGTTTAAAATTTGTTTGGTATAATTATATTTCAATGAAAGCCAATGTAACTCATTTTATAAAAACATAAGGATAAAAGTGTTTCATAACAAAATAGATAAGATATAAATGTATTGAGTAATGTAGTGGCGTTCGGTGCGGGAGAGGGCTCTGTCAAATTAAAAATAAAATAACAATAAAAAACACCCGCGGGCCGGTACTGCGGTCTCTCCTGTAAATAGGGCATGAGCCGCCACTGAAGAAAAGTAATATATAGCTGTTTAGAAGAACGTTTTATCAAAAATGTATCATCTTACCTGATTATCGTTATTTTCTACAGCGAAATACCCAGTAACAGTAATTACTTGGTGAAGCAATTCTTCATATGCTAATTCACATACTGCATCTTCTTTTCCATGAGTTTTCGGAATGGTGGGTGATGCGCAACACCACAGCAAGTGACTAGAGATGTGACGAAATTGCAGAGATATACCTTCTGCACCCAGTACCTCCTAAAACAACAAAAACAATATTTTATAACAACGCCTGCAGGGTATTCTACATCTCAAATGTGGTCACCATTTATACTGAGATAAAAAACAAAAAATCAAAATCCCATATACAGAGATGGGTAAAATTGGCGGAACACCCGATTTGTGGCTTAATTATGGAGTGTACACGGAAAAAATGTGACTAGAAAATTTTACTACAATGTTGTAGTAGTAGACTTGTAGAAAAATACTTAACAATTTGTAGAAAATTTTACTACAATTTATAGTTAAAAACTATTAATTATTGTAGCAATTGAATTGTCGAATAAAATGCTACAACAATAGGAAAGAAGTCCACAATGTTTAGTATATTTTACTATTGTTTGTAAAAGTAGAAATTTATTACAATTATCGTAATTACTACTACTAACTTCTGTAAAAATTTGTACAAATATTAATAATTATCTCTACAAAAAATAGTAATTTTCTCTACAAAAAAATAGTAATACTTTACATCCCTTCTTCAAAAATATTCTATAATATTGTAGAAATTCTAAGTCATGTGAGCAAAACAGAATTCTGCTATTGGCCAACGTTTTCTGACGTCGATCATAAACGGCCAGACAGCAGTAGCCGTTCGCCATGTTCACATAACAAAGCATGGTACATATACGAGTACCTATAACACATTATTATATTATAAGCACCGATGCGTTTGAGAAAATTTTAATAATAAATTCTATTGGTGGTAAGTACATTTATTATTGTTTCTGAATAATTTACCTTTAGATAACTAATTTAAATAACCTTAGTAGATTATTTTAAAAAAATAGTTGTGGCCAACGATCGAATGTTGTGCCCAACGATCGAATTTTGTGCCAAGTTCAATGATTTTTTTGTCTTAATTGTGACATACCTACTTTCTCATTTTTGTTAGTAATCTGACTTAGTCATTTAATATCCAAATCAGTGTAAAGGTGATAAATATCCCCGTTTTAAGGGTATGAACAATTCAATTGATATTAATTTTTATTTCATATTTTTCAGGTGCAGAAAAGCCAACTGAGACTGAGGGCGCTATTATTACTGTTATTTATTACATAATGTAATTAAGAATTTGTATCTTTTATATTAAAACAATAAATTGACTATTTTATTAAGGAACATTTTTTTCTAGGTTATAATTATAATAATTATGGAATACTACAAATTTTATTAAAAATTACTACAATTTGTATGAATTTTTACTATTTATTGTGAAAAATTTTCGTATTTATTTTCATAAAACGCAATACATTTTTAATATAAATTCATACAATGAAAAGCAAAAATTATAACAATTTGTAGAACAATTCTTATGATGCATTTCGATCTTTTTACTAAATATTGTAGATAATAACTCTACAATACATTCTCCACAAATATTTGGAAATTTTTACTACAAATTGTCCCTGTCCCTATATGTACTATTTATTGTAGAGAAAAAATCTACAATTGTAGAAATTTGTTCTACAATTTTTTTTCCGTGTACTATAGTCTATTTTTATGTATTCAAAACTTAGTACGGTCATTTTAAATATTTTTACAGAATAGTCTAAATATTTCCTAAAATTGTAATAAATGTACCTGAGCTATTACAAGTTTTGGGTCTTTTATTGGTCCTTTATAAACATAAGCTGTACAGAACAATAGAAAAAAAATGTTTAAACAGGCCAAAAGCCCTGTGTATTAAAGATTACATAGCCGATCTTAAGATTATTTTCAATAAGTACCTATTTGCCAATTTTGTTTTATTTTAATTCCAAGAATTTCTTACAGTAATCGAATTATAAGTAGATAAATACCTTCCCAACAAATTTCACTGAAAATTCGATTATAGGTTTTCCATTTAGTAAGGAGGTCCAAGTTGTGTATTCTTAACAGTTTACTAAATGTCGTTTAGTTGCAACTTGCAAGGTGCAGTGTGAATTCTAGTGTGATCATGGAAAATTTGGAAGGGCCGCGTAAACGACAAAAAATCGGTCCTTTAACAGTTAATGAAAAAACATTAATATTTAATTGTTTTAAATCATTTACAGACAAACATTTATGTAAAAGTGTTGATGACACAGTGGAATTAGTTAGTATTACGCTTGGTGTTGGGAAATCTACGATTTACAGAGTTGTTAAAGAAGACAAATGTGGCGAGTTTCAAACAGCACGTAAAGCTCCAGGAAAACCAAAATTTCAATCAGAAAATCTTTTGAAAGAAAAACTTCGAAGGAAAGTTCTACTTTAGAAAAGAATTTCCGACAGTAGACAAAGTTCTTGCCACGGTTCGAGATGATAAGGATTACCCTGAAATGAGTCGAAGCACACTATGGAAACTTTTAAAATAAATAGGTTTTCTATGGAAAAAGCATTCCAGAAAGTCTATTTTAATAGAAAGAAGCGATATTGTAGTATGGAGAAGAAATTACCTAAGGACTATAAAAGAAATGAGAAACCAAAGAAGAAATATATTTTATTTAGATGAAACATGGATCAACGAGGGACATAAACCAAATAAATTTTGGCAAGATGAAACTGTTACAAGTCGAAGACAGGCTTTTTTAAATAATTTATCTACTGGTTTAAATCCACCATCAGGAAAGGGGCGCAGACTAATAATAGTACACATCGGTAGTTCAAACGGTTTTGTTAAAGGTGGTTTATTGACTTTTGAATCTACTCGTACCGGTGACTACCATGAGGACATGAATGCTGATGTCTTTAAAGAGTGGTTCGAACAAATTATAGATAATGCAAGTTATCACTCGAGACTTATTAGAAAAAATGCCCACAACCAAGTGGTTAAAAAAAGATTTACAGAATTGGCTAAATTCAAAGAATATTAAGTTCCATCCCGGTTCTGTGAGAAAAGAACTGTATCATTTGTGTTCCCTTCATAAAGAGAAATTAAAAAATATGAAATTGATGAAATTGCAAAAAATCGTGGGATGACGGTGGTTAGATCACCACCATATCATTGCGAAGTAAACCCGATTGAACTGACATGGGCACAGATAAAGGGAGAAGTTTCAAGAAAAAATAATTCTTTTAAAATGAGTGATGTTAAACAGTTGTTTTTGTAGGCTGTAAATAATGTGAAGCCTGAAAACTGGGAAAATGCAGTAAATCATACAATTAAAGAAGAAGAGAAAATGTGGAAGTTGGACAATATTACTGATGAAATGACCGAGCCACTCATTGTAAATATTGGTTGCGACAGTTCATCTTCTGATTTCGATTTTGATTTGGATTTGTAGGTAAGAAGTAGTTTTTATATTAAAATTATTATTTATGAACGTAACGTTGTTTAAAAGTCAAAGTTTAAACCCTTATACCTACATAACCCGTTTGACATACCTTGTGGAAAAATAAAACAGTTTAGAAAAAAATTGCACTTTTTTACCTTCAGCTGTTTAGAAGTTATAAGCAGGTTAATTAGGTGAAAATATGAGTGTATACTCGAGGAATAACTTCAAAAAATATTTTAACTGTCTACTAAAAGAAGTGGTACGTCTATGGATTACGAACGCTTTATTATTTTAATACTCTCTCATACATAAAAATAGACATTAAACAATGACTCGAATAAATCTAATGACGCTTGGGGATTTTCATCATCTGTCATATTTATCAGGATATGACGTCATCGGATGAAATTTTAAATGAATTACCCTGTATTTATATATTTTTTTCAGATATATCTTTTTGTTCTGAATCCCTCATCGTGGGGTTCGGGTGGTATATTATTGATTTAAAACAAAATAAGTAGGTTTATTTTTATTTGTTTTCCTTCGCAACTGGTGACGTAAAGTAGGTCATCTTTATATTTATAATTAGTGGCACAAATAAAATTTAACCAAAGAATAAATTGGCTCCTTTTTCGTCTATACGGGAAATTTGTATGCTCAAGATACGTGAATTTTTCCAAGGCCTCCTTGAAAAAAAAAAAAAAAAAAACGATTCGTGGATCACTCTTTATATCTTAATGCTTAACCGACACATTAAACGTGGGTGTATCTCTGATTGCCCTTCCACAAAGCCCGGAGTTCATGAATATTCCGAAGAGAGGCCCCGTCCGACAAACTTTAAACTCGAGGATCCATCCCATGTTTGCATATCCACCGCCGGCTTGTAGCGAGAGCGACCCGAACACGGGCGTGTATTTACGCTAGCCAATACGTCACCCCTTTAATTGAATCATTTTGCTCTCCAAATCTTCAAATTGGCTTTGCTCGCTATCTATCCGCCCCCGCTTTGTGCGATCCACCTCCATGGGTACGTTTACATGAGTTTTTTTCGTTCGAAATTAAAGTTGCGTTATTTTGAATCAATATTTTCAATTCACATAATATTGTATAATATCGGTCAAGATATTACTGGGTTGGCAAGAACAAGGACGCAATTAGAAATAGTCGATTTTACAGTATGCTGTAAATAAAGGGTGATCCAATTTCAGTTTCCTATATGGGCACTACTGTAAATCAGACAATTGATAATAAGCATTTGATTTTTAAGCGTCAAAAGTCAGTTTGTGCGACCTAACCCCATTAGATTTTTTCTGTGTGGTTACCTTAAAAGTCTTCTTTATGCCAATCAACCCGAAACGCTAGATCATCTGAAAAACAATATCCGCCAAGTTATTGTCGACGTACCGCCCGAAATGTTTGAAAAAGTCATCGAAAATTATCTAAAAAGGATCGACTCTTGTAGAAGGTCTAGGGGCGTCAATTTAAATATTTTATATAAATAAAAATTTCCTTGGTTTATTCGGTTATTAATTTTATTTTCTATCGTTAGCACAACACTACATACGAGTATGTTTCGGAAAACTTTGTTTCCATCTTCGAGTGCAGTCAAAATTAAAAAAAAAAAAAAATTAAAAAACACATGGGGACGATTACAAACAGTTTAAAATTTTTTAAACAAACGTAGATGAACTGGAACAATAATCCAAGTTCAGTGATCCAAGTGACCCATCGCGTAAACCAAGT